TTGGAGTCCATGGCCACAGGAAGCGAAATGTTCAATGATTTGGCAGATACCCTCACCTCTGTTGGCGAGCCGAGCTTGGCAAGTTTAGGATTAGGTGGCTGGGGTCCAACCGGCATCATTCAACAAGGCCTGGAGTTTATCCATGTTACTGGGGGTCTCTCATGGTGCGCTTCCATAGCTGTGACAACAGTGTGCATTCGTCTCCTGCTTCTCCCTCTGATTGTCAAGTCACAGGCCAACACAGCTCGACTGAACAATGCAAGGCCAGAGTTACAGGAGGTAGAGCTTAAAATGAGAGAGCTGTCAAACTCTACTGATTCAGCAGCACAAGCACAAGCTTCTGCAATGCTGGGAAAAATTTACCGTGAGAACAACTGTCACCCTGTTAAGGTAATTTCAGAGAAAATTGTTGTCAAGATCTTGATTAATCCTGTGGTCAATTCATTGATCTGGGTTGAATAATTGCTTCTCCATCTTTAATTACCATTGCTAAAATACTGACATCAGCCCATTAATTTAATTATTTGGTGAACATGGATTTTGTGTCATCATTAAACTTGTTTAACACTTAGTAATTTCTTTGTTTCTTTTCAGAGTTTATTGGCCATTGTTGCTCAGTTTCCTGTTTTCATCTCATTCTTTTTTGCAATCAGAGGAATGGCTAATTTACCGGTAGAATCATTCAAGACAGGAGGATATCTTTGGTTTCAAGACCTAACATTATGTGATCCATATTATGTATTACCTATCATGTGCAGTTTTTCCATGCTGGCATCATTAGAAGTAAGAAAAAATGTGCTTCAGAAGGAAAAGTTTATATACCTTGCCAATTATCAGCAGTAAACTAGCAATCATAATAGTCATTGCCTTCATGTTACACATTTCTAAACCTGGCACAATATGTACATTATATAAATGTTGAGTGAGTGGTTTGTTTTTTCCACAAGAATTAATTTTCCAAATTTCAATTTGACCTGGAAAACAGTGAACTTGAAGAGCCACCTAGTGGAAAGTCAGCTACTAAATTCCCATAGTTAATATTATTATTCATTATTATTATTAGTGTTATCATTATTGTTATTTTTATTGTTAAGTTTCATCATTATCTTAATCTATTGTCTGTTATAATTGTAATTATAATTGTTATTTTTACTTTTATTAATTGGGGATGAGCACAATGATTTAAATGTCAGTGAGCCTCAGAGACCTTACCTACCTATGAATGAAGGAAAGCATCATAGTTTAAATGTTCATATTTTATGTGTTATTTTTCTTGTAGTTAGGTGGCGAGGTTGGAGTCAGGACTCCCCATATGGAGACAATGAAGACAGTCTTTCGCATAATGGCTGTTGCACTGATCCCTTTCACAGCACATTTTCCAGCAGTATGTTAAATATCACCCTGTCTTTTGTTTCTTATGTGTCAATCAAGTCTAAGCTTCAACATCCCCCCCTGGCAACCCTGCAAGCATTTGAACTTTTGAAGATTGGTTATTTCAAGTTTCTGCTCCCCCCCCCTCCCCCAGGCCAAGATCACATTTAAATGCCCCACCCAATATCAAATGATCCTTGGTGTGTTCAACAAATGTTGTGGAATTAAGCAAAGTCATGGGTTAGTTTTTGTTGCTGCTCTATAAAAAGATGTGTATTCAGGGTTTTCATTGTATTACACTGAAAAGACTTGACACTTCCAGTTCTAATGCTCCACCTCACCCAGGTAGGGTTCAAATTCCCCACCTCCTGGGTATGGGGGATGGTCAAATGCTCATGGGTTGCCCAGGGAGATGTTGAATAAGTAAGACAGTTTTGTGAAGTTATTTTGCTACACTTTCTGAAAAAACTTGTATGTGCAGAAAAAGTGAAGATCTAAAATGAATAGCAAGACAGAAACAGTGGGAGGGTACCAAGGGTTTTTATTTATTTATTTATTTATTTTGAACTCTTTCTGCTGTCTATGGCTTTCTAGCATATATTATGCTAGGAGATGGGGTAAGGTTTCGCTTGTGCATAGCTCTCTAGATCAAAAGTTCCAGTTAGGAGCCCTGACCAATTCACTGCATTGTATTCTTGGGCAAGACACAAGAATTATGAAGGGGTATCTGCAACTGTCAAGAAACCCTGGGGAAACTTTTGGAAGTGATATTTGATGGACCAGAATCTTGTTGAGGATGATGAGTGGCAATACTCCCAGCTACTTTAGTTTCCAGTAAGAGAGATAAGAATGGAGATTTATGCCAAGTATGTCACTCAAATAATTGGCCAGGGTTCAAATCCATGCCTCCTTAACTTGACTATGACATCTCTGTAACTCCTCAGAGAAAACTAAACTAAATGCAAGGGAGAAATAGCTAACTGTGAGGATTTTGCAATTACTTGAGTTTTTTTTTTGTCACGAAAAGAATGCTACTCTTGGTGCATTCAGAATATGATTATGATATATTTTTTTAACATTTTTCAATAGGTTCTTTTATTGTTTCTCAACAGGCCATTTTTTGTTACTGGGTAACATCCAACTTGTTTACAATTGTTCAAGTGGGATTTTTAAAGAGCCCTTCAGTAAGGAGAGCTTTAGGAATCCCTGAAATGATAAAGCATGAAAATCTACAAGAAGCTGGAAGCTTTTTTGAGAACTTGAAGGCTGGTGAGCTATGACAAACTATCTAAGTTAATGAATTAAGCATTTCTTATCCATCAACTTCCTTCTTTCCCTTAACCTTTTCATTTTGTTACAACTGTGCACCTTTTCCCTTCACTTTCTTCCATCATTTCTTGCCTCCTTCAATCTTTCCGTCATCTCTCCCCTCACTTTCCTCCTTTTCATACAATACTTGTTCAATGATCTCCCACATGTCCACCTACCTATTAAACAAGCAGCCTATCTGCATTTCAGCTTATTAGCCTACACTAATTTCAGTACATAGGATTAGTTGTAAGACCTACCTGTGTTTTTACTTATGCACTACCCCCAGCTACCAAAATGATTGTACCTGTAGTATTTGCTAAACATTAAAATTTTTTAACTGTCAACTGACAGCTAGCCAACCTGTGACCTATCAGGTAACCCTCTGTTCAGAAGCTACCCATCCTTTTGTACCTTCCAACCTTTTCTCTGATCTTCTTGTTTATTTAACCTACTAGAGACTCTGTGACTTTGAATGCTCTGACATACAAATTCTAAACTCTCTAACCAGGGTTTCAAAATTCACAAGAAGAAGGAAAACTGAGGCATGCAGAGAAAATGAAGAGACAGAGATTGAAGGCCTTGGGAGAGGCCCCCTTGGAAGCAACATATGAGTTTAATCCCAGGATTGAACAGAACCAGGAGATTCTCAGTTTGTCTGACAGTGAAAAAAAGAGTGACAAACGTGGAAGGAACAGAAGAAGGATGTTGGAGAGATTGGAGAAACCAGCCCCTCAAACTGACCTTAGGATTAAATTCAACCAGGAGTACTTCAGTGCCAAAGCTCATCAACAAGCAAAAGAAAAAGAGTGAAAATGCAAGGGGGAACAGTCTCTTTGAGGCTCTCAGTCAGGGAAGTTGAGCCTGACTTTTCTTTTTTCACAACTGACTGGGAGTCTGGCTCAAATTTCAAGCAATACAGCCACGTGACCAACATACTAAGTTACCAAGGCCTGAATATGTTTTTGAGTAACAACTGAAGATGATGAGCAGCAGACTATACTCTGATGTCTTTGGCCTTTATTGACTTGTACATTTACCAACTATTTGTTTTAAAGAGAAGCTTACATAACATGTAGTCCATAGTGTGATTTAAATGCTCCCAAGAACTGGATTTCTTAAAGGTTTTTGATGTGAAAGGTTTTCAAAGGTTGCAGCATAAGAACAAAGAGGTCAGAGGTCAAAACTCAAGTTGTTAGATGTCATTAAGAACAGTTGTTTACCTGGGCCCAGTTGTTCAAAGGCTGATTAGTGCTAACCCAAGGTTAACTTTTAATTAGGGCTTTTCATTCCTTTCTTCAAAGGCCTATGTGGGATAGTTTTTCTCTATTCTTTTGAGAACATCCAATCATCAACTTGTTGACAAAAGAAGTGTTTTTTGACAGCTGAGATTTCAGATTTCACACCAGCATTAGGTTATCCTAACCCAGCTTTGAACAACACTGCCTCGTACAATATTGTGCAACAGGGTAACTGTTAACTGGTTTTTTTCTTCACCATTGCAAACTCGTGTAAACCAAAAAAATGCTAGAATTCACACATGTTTGAGATGCAAATGTTACTACAGTTTAAACAAAAATTAAAGGATTTTTTTAAATGGTAGGTGCCTAGACTGACAATTTAGTTTTATCAGTTGAGTTGATAATTTGTAATTTGGCCACTGTCTAGAGATTTTAGAGCTGATGTTTCCCACGTTAGGCCTTCGTCTTTCGCTCTGACGAAGGGATAATGATAGAGATGTCAGCGTTAGAAACTCTTTACTGCAGCCAATTAAGTTCCCCTCCGATGCAGTGCCACAATTTCTCACCTCCAGCCCAAGTCTAGCCATAGCAATAGTTATGGTTGTTGCAAAAGTGCTTCAGAATTAACAAGAAGGCTGAGAGCGACGATAGGACCTCTACTATGATCCTCCTACATCTAATCTTACTGTTTCTACTCCGATATGAGGTCATCAAAGATCGTCTGCTGAACTGGAAACTGACTTTCGCATTTGGAACACTTTGTCACGGTAACCGCAACTGAAATTGAAAAGTTTCGCCTTCTTCATCTTGGTACCCCAGCCAAAATGTCACTAATGAACAGTTACCTCAATCTCGACCGATGTTAACATTTATTGCCTTGAAAAACGAAAAATAAAGCTTTCATAAAACCAACGTTTGTATAAAAATAACATGCAATTTAGGTAGCTACTTTTGAAATTCAGGCTGCCACTCTGGATTTCTGGCAATTTTTTAGCAACTTTTCAGCAGTCCATTGAGCAACCTAGCGCCGCACAGCGGATGACGTTGTTACTATGGTAATATGATGAGGCGCGTATCGTGCTTCTAATTTCAAGATGGCGAATTCTGCGTGGAACTTGAAATAAGCAAGGTTGAAATCTTAAAAGAATGGGTTACATAAATTTGTATTTTTTATAAATCGTAAGAAATGAAAACCTCGTCTCGATACGATCAAGAGAGCGGAGGCTGGAATGCAAAGTTTGGAGAACAAACAAGAAAACAGAGGCATCCATGTAAGTTAAAGATCTGAAATCCAGATTAGGCATAACTTCTTTATCGACACTGTTTAGTGTTTGTTATAACTTAACTTTATCGTATTTATCTAGATATATGAGTGAATCATTGAAAAATCGTGGTAAGCCTGGTCATAGATAACAGTTCATCATTTCGATGATGTTTATTACAAAGAAATTTTGGCATGTTTACAAATTTAATAACACGATTGCAGATCAACTCTATATGTACACGAGATTACTAGTAAGTCTTATGCATGGATAGAGTTGATCTGAAAGTTTGACTGTTGTTCAAGAGGCTTCTGATGTCGACGAGCGGGACATTTAACTACCGTCTGGTGCTGTGTGCAAATTAATACAACCATTCTGTGTCGATTAAAGTGTTTAGGGGAAATGTTTTAAATAAAAACATGGAATAAATGTTTGTGGTAATTTAATTGATCAAGATTTAACCATAAGAATGTAAAAAATTTATTTTTCTGTCAGTGATTATAATTTATCATCTCATCAAATGTTTATTTTAATTTACTTACTTAGTGCCAAAGCTTATTGGCCTTCCTGCTATTAACTACAATGGTCTGAGGTGGTTGTGTGATATTGAAGGCCTTGGAGAGAGGTATGTCCAATTGAGTGATAAAATCAACCTTTTTCTATGCTCTTCTTCCAAATAACCCTTCATAGCTGGTAGATTTGCGTTTGTCATGGAACTTTCAGGAGTATTAAGCCTTAAAATTTACATGTAGGAGGGAGGCAGGAAAATGGGAAAACCATTCTTACACCCTAAATTATTGCCTTAATTACTTAATTAATGCCTTAATTACTAAATTAATTAACAACTGCGTGTTTTTACAGCTCCTCCACACCAAACCAGCAACTATATTAGCTACTTTTTCTTTGTATGTTGCTGATGTTAAGAAATCATCTCACCAGGAGGGTGGATGGCAGGGGATCATTGGCACTCCAGAAACCTCCCACAACCCAGCCTTGTTTAATCCTTAACCCCTGAGAGTGACTGACTGCTAGTTCTCCTCACAGTGTCACCTTAAAATCAAATGTAAACATCACGAGAATAAAGAAAATCATCACTAACTTAGGAAGCTAGTGATTGTCAAACAAATTCTCTTTGTCAGTGCTATTAGAAATGTAAAGAGAACAGTGTGGAGAATATAAACACCAATGTTAAGGTGCAAAGAGCTAATGTTTAATTTTAAATTCATGAAGACTCTTGTCCAAAGTTTCTCAAGTGTCCTGGCTATTTGCATTTCAATTTCAGGGACAGGCCATCCACATCAGAAGCTCATGAGTTATTTTTAGCCAACTATCCAAAGATGTTCAACAATCCCAGACAGCAAGCTTTAAACTTATCTTTAAATTCTACACAGCCAAGGTAACAAATTAATTTCCATTTACTTACAAAGAAAACACCTTGAAAAATTCCTGTTTCATTTTCTCTGAAGACAAGAAAATGTCTGAACAAGCCTGTCTCTATTTTTTTAAATTTGTGGGGACCTTTTCTTAAATTCAATGCTCTTAGCCTCATCTAACTATTATGTTAAAGAGGGTAAGTTTCTATACATAACCCACAATTCCTCCAGTTGCTCTGACAAAGGCCCAACACTTGAAACATCAGCTTTTAAACTCTTTATGGTTGCCAATTTACATTGTCAACTCAGTTTATAATACTAAATTACCCTGTTTAACTCTCCTACCAATGTAGCACAACAGTTTCTTTAGAGACTTACTTCCTTTATTAACTTTCTAGAGAAACTGTGATCAGGGGAAGTATTTTAAGATGATTTGTTTTTTTCAACTAAGTTGATAAATGAATGTAAATAGCCCACTGTAAAGAGTTTCTGAAGCTAAGGTAACTGTTATGTTAATTTGTTGTTATTTGGTGAAGATTTTGTTTTTCTTACATACAAGTGTATATTCACTTTTCTCCATTATTTGATTATGACCAACAGAAAGCTCAATTTTGGTGATGGCCAGTTACTTAAAGCTTCAGAAACCAAAATACCACATGGTAAGTTTTCTTAACTTGTTGTTTGTTTGCATGTTTTTTCCTTTGCTTCAAATTTAAATTCATTCAAGCTACTAGTATTTAAACTTATGGAAACGTGATTCATTCCTTTCTTTTATAGACAAAGGGTTATTTCCTCACTGGTGTAAAGGATTTGATGTTCCAGTAAGCCATAACATATCAGAACACCTTTCCAAGCTTCATAAACATTCAGTCATCACCATGTCTGCAGCTGCCTTACTTGACATGAGAATAAAGTCTATTAAGAGAGTGCTACGGAAACAGTAAGTTCCTTGGGTAAAGACAATGTCAATGCTATAACTATATCCATTTCCTGGAATGGCAAATTTTTACTTGAAAAGTAAAAAATGTATGTATCTTTTGAAATGTAGTGGAAAGAGTGGTAAATGATATTTTAGATCATGAGAAGTTACAAAATTAAATGAAAACCAACCTCAGTTATTAAGGATACATTCTTTGAGGTTAGCGAACATATGAATCAAACATAGTGACAGTGAATGTACTCCAGATAACAACCTACCTAAAGCACAAGGGTGATGGTT